CCCCATGCATACATCTGTGTGAACAATAAATGATTCTTGTCATTCTTACCTGCAATCCCTGTCTGTTATGTGGTTTTTAATTTAGATTATGTATAAATAATAGAAGATTATGCATAATTTATAAGGTTTTTTTTGCATGAATAAGAAATTTTTACTAAATGAATGACTGTAGGAGTGAGTTAGTCATTATGTGTGCAAAAAAGTAACATTTTATACATGCTGCACACAGTATGTTTTATAATAGTACTATAATGATTTAAGGAAGCAAAGTTAATTGTTGTAATTTCAGACCCACAATACAATGTCATGTGTGCTACTTAAGCAACAAATTTGTTTACCAATGGTAATTAGCTTGAATTTTATAAAAAGTTATGAATTTTTTGCCATGAAAAATTCTGGAAGCAGCTACAAAAACAGAAAATTCATTAATTCCAAAAAGTAACAAACTTCATGAAATTCAAAGTTTAAAGAATGGGATGGATATAAAACGAGCAAATTTTGTATCTGGGGCTGTTCTTGTGCTGTGCAGGTTATTTAATCAGGTATCATACACATACTAGAATACAGATGGTAATTATTATAATATATACTTCTTAAAAGTATTAAACTCACAGCATGTAAAGCATCTAGCTTTACAATGCGCATATTCGAAATAGATGACAGTAATGAAGAATAAAGGTGATGTTAATATTGCAATTTTTCATAAATTAAGTTCATTTTTAGGGCAGAAAATAATAAAGAAAAAAACAGGCACATTGGAATTGAATTCTTTTTCCAGATTTTTTTTCTTCACAAACTTAAATAATTGCAATATTAATATTCAAGTGCATCAAAATTAGATCAGGTGTTCTTATATTCTGTTTATTACATTTCCTTAAAAGTAGCATATCCTTTCAGAAGATTACATAAATGAATAAGATTTTATAAGTTTAGGTTAAAAAAAAAAAAAAATCACTGATTTTACAGTGCAAGTGCAGGAACATGATACCACTGTCTCCTTTACTCTCCAAAGCTAGAAGGAGAAGGGGGTAGTGAATATTATGTTAGCAATGACTCATATGTTGTGCAGAAATAGTGATGCTATGTTTTGTACAATTACTTGCCGTATTATTAATGATTTTAGCGATTAAAAAATTGCTTACATGTAAGCTAGATCATTTTGAGGCTCTAAAATGTTTTATATCTAAAATTACAGCCAACCAATTCCCATAAAAACTAAAAATATGTTTCTTGCTCCAATGAGTCTGTTACTGAAATGTGAAGGAAGCTGCTTCACTGCGTTTCACTTAAATTATAGTTCTGAAAACTGATTGACTGTCGACAGTTGTGTTAAACTGCAACAAACTTGGGTCTATGACATAAAATTATTTATTTGCCTACATACACTCACGAAATAGTAATTCATAAAAAAATGTATTAACTTTTTAGGAAGCTCTTAAAAGAGAGGTTATCGAGGAAACTGGTATGAATGTGGAACCAACTACACTTTTATCTGTGGAATGTGCCAGTGGATCATGGTTTCGATTTATTGTAACTGGAAATGTTATAGGTAAGCATTGTTGGCAGAATTCAAAGTTACATTTTTCTTCAAAAAGTGTGAATGATTTGAAACATTTACACTTTTTATTTAGGTTTCTTATTACATGTATTGCTAGCACCCATTATCCATGACAAAGTCGATGCAGTTATTGAGTAAAATGTTGATTCTGAGCTCTTTTATTTTAAATTTGTTTTCAAGCGAACAATGTCAGAAAAGGTTCAGACATTTAGCATGTAACTTGAAAATTCAGTCATAGAAATTGGGTTAAATAAATACTTTTGTGAGTTTTTGTAAGTTACTTTCCAATATTCTATTTTATGGTTCTTATATAAAACTAATAATTTATTACTATTTTTTACAAGTACACTGTACTTTAGCCAAACTCAATTTACTCCTGAATATATTGATTCCATTTTCACATCTGCACACACACACACTTACAGAAATATTATTTTTTTCTACCTTTAACCTTCCCATAGTAGACCTGTATTTAATTGAAAGCTATTATATGAAGTTTGTGAATTTTCAGGAGGGCAGTTAAAAACTCCAAAAGATGCTGATTCTGAATCGCTCCAAGCAAAATGGATTAAAAAGGAAACCGATATGAGTCTGAGAGCTTCAGATATTCTTCCAATAATTGAACGCGGAAGAAGTTTTTACAATAAATCACATTCAGAACCATGGCATAAAGAAATTCTGCCAACTATTAAGCCCCATAAGAAGCTTTTGTTACGTCTTGTTGTGTGTATTAAGAAACGCAGCAAGTAAGATTATTTGATCATTTCAGAAGAAGTGAAAACTTTTTGTTTAATCAAACATGTTGAAGTTTTTTCTTTCTTTCACAGCAATCGTGTTCATGTTTTGTTGTCAGAGAAGACTGAAGTTCACTTGCCAGTATGTGAGATTCACCCTGCAAAAAATCTCCATGCAACTTTAAAAAAGTTCATGACTGTTAGTATGCCACAATTGCAAGTAGCAATACAGTATTAATCAAGAACATCCCCAGGACTTAACTTAAATGGACTTAACGATAATAAGTTTCCAAGACCAAAATATGTAATTTGATAATTATTCTTTCCTGAACATGTCTTGCATACTGTTTTTCAGAATAGATATACAAAACATTGAAGATAAACAGGAAATGAATGATTTATTGGCTAAAAGGTTTTAAACTGTATTCACATTTTTTTGGGATAAGGGGATGCAGAATCAAGTTTCAATTTTGTGTAAAGATTAAATTTCTAGCTTTTATTGAATGATATTTTATCTTAAGTTAAATATTTTTTTAAAATTTCATTATACAAGTGATCTTGTTTGCTATCAGTTATCAATACTTAAACATGGAGATAGTTTGTGAGCAATAATGTAAAATAGATATACTTAGTCAAATTTTGTAAACATTGTCTCTGATTAACTAAAGAGCATGAGGAAGAGAATGATTTTATTCTGTAATGAGAGTTAGTCATTTACTTAATATATTATTATCTTAAAGTGTAAATAAAATGTTTGTTTGTTTGCAGGAAATATTTGGGGCTGATGTCCCTCCACACAAACCTCATGGTTTACTGAGCATAGAGCATTCTGGAAAACCTGAAGGAACTGATGATGGTCTATGCCTCACTCTCCTTGTGTCTTTTCGAAAACCTCTTGAAGAAGTTGGAATAATCGACAAATACACATGGTTGGAAATATCAAAGCAATTAGGAGACGAACTTCTTAACAGATTGCCGAAGAATATGACTGTACCTTTAAATGTAATTCGATAATTTAATGTGAAATGGTCTGGAATTCTTTTTGTTTTGGCAATTTTACTGCCCTCAGTTACGGGTTACTGGTTACTTTAAAACTCATTTGTTATCAGGATCAGATGGAGTTGGGATTTAAAATGACTGTTTTCTGGGTTTGCATCAATGCATTTAGGCTCTCATTTCCAGATAAAAATAAGTAAATGGAGATATTATTGATGCGTTTAATGATTGAGGCATTTTGTCCCATAAAAGAAATTATGGGACAAAATAAATGCCTTGTTTTTAAAATTAGAATTTCACAATTTTTTTGACTGGAAACATCACAACTGTGTAGGTGAATGTACAATAACATATTTTAATGAAAACTTGATTCATTTTAAAACCAAAAGAATTATTAAGTATATAAATCATAACAAATTAACATAAAGCAACATGTTCCAATACAATGAAATTTGCAAAGAGAAAATATGCTGGCAATGAGAAACCTAATTTTCCTTATAGATCAATATTTACTTTCAAAGGTCTTGAGTTGTTTTTACTGAATTACTCTTCTGAAGAAAGACTTCTAAGTATTTGATAAATTGCAAAAGGACAGTTCAGTGTATCAATTTACCAGAACATATATAAAAAAAATCAGTTGATTTCCAAATTAAAAGTACTACTCAGAATAAGATAACAATAAATGCCATTATTGCTCACACATAGGTGAGTGGCCACATATAGGTGAGTGATACGTGGCCAGTAATACTAGAATGAAAGTCACATGATTCTTCTCAGAAATCAATAAGAAACAACGTTCCCATACTGGAACAGTAGGTTCAAATGGGTTTTGATCTGCTATCAGGAATGGAGCAAAACCGACTATCAGCTCATTTTATTTTTATTATTAACCTATCAGCTGAATAGCTGGACAATAAATCAGCTGTGGGATAGTTTTTACAAAAAGTAGGGCAATTAAAGAAACATGATGTATGTCTTTCTTATGAACATATTCTTTTAGTTTCTTAAAACAATGTTCAATTTTACACGCACATTTGTATTTATTTAAGTCTGAGATCAAATGGCTACACAAAAGTAGGGTACTAGATTGCTATATCCAATAGGCTCTGTCAAATAAGTTTTATCCCTAAATTTCCAAAATGGGGAATTGTCAGTTTAATTATAATCAAATTTGTTTTTGAAATCATGTAATATGATGTGATGTCAACCTGACACTAAATAGTCATTTGGCCTATGTTGCTTCAGGATAATAAAATAAATCATACTGTTAAATAAGAACCGAAAATTAGAAAAACCTTAACGATTAATTTATGGTTTAATTTGATTTCCTTTTGAGACTCTCACTTTTTCATATCTTAATTTTGATTTCTTTTAGCTACTGAAATAAATACAAAGCAGGCTAAAATGCCAAATCATGGAATTAATTTTTACTTACATTTTGATTGCATTTTTGATGTATGATTGAAGTTTCTCTCGATTTCAATTAATTTGATCCTACTAACAAAGACTAATAGCTACAGCACATTCCATTTAAATCTGCAATTCTAATATCTTTGATAATTGCATAATAATTGTGGTGTTTGGATGCAGATTCAGTTATTCGTTTTGTATAAAGTAATTCAATATCCTGGTCATTCTATTTTTCCCCCTTTGAATACACCCATCCCTTGATTCTGCAGATCTCTCTTTAAAAAATTTAATTAATGGATAAATTCTAGTCTGATTCAAAGTTGAAAACGATAAATTAATTGTTTTACACTGTCAAATTGGATAGCGAGCTTAATTAAATATCAGGTACATTTATTCTTCAGCTATTTTTGGTCTTAGAGTTGAAGGAATCAAGATACGAGCCCATTTCAGGAATTTTCATCTTCGAAATATGCTGCAATTCCTCCAATCAAAGATCGCAACTTATAATAAGTGAAATTGTGTTGTTCTGAATATGTTGTGAAGAAAGTAACATTTTAATCTTTAGTTCATTAAATTCACAATTTCAAAGAATTTTTTTATAAATCCTGAACGCAGATGATAAAAGGTTGCACGTCCCATTACGTCAGAGAAGAATTGTTCGTGATGCTCTTTATTTCCATTACAGTCTCACTCAATCACGTAGCTAGGCAGAGTGTTTCACAACCTTTCCCATTATAAAAAAAAAAACTGCCGCCTTATGCTATCAATTCAGTTATTTTGCTCTTCAGTTGCAAACATTATACAAACCAACATAACTGCAGTGGAAACTATTTTCCGATTTCAAATTGTAGAGGGAATCTTATATTTTGTGTTTTTAGTAAGATTTTAGCTTGAGTTCCTTTTTGGGTAAAGAGAAGCTTGGAAAATAGTGTTTTTGCATCATTCAATTTCAAAATGATTAGTACATATTTAGTTAGAAAAAGATGGATATAAAGTGAAAAGGACAGAGAAAATGAATGTAGTATTTGTAGCAGTGAAATTATCTGCCACTTGTCATATTCTTGACTCCTAGTTTTGTGGATTACTAGACTTTGTGGCTGGCTGCTTATTACACATTTTTATGCCAAAGCATTAAGGTGTGGTTCCACACATTGGGCATTTACCAAGCAACAAGCTACTGCTGCCCAATCCTGAACGATGATATGCTCCATGAATGTTTACTTCCTTTGATGTGACCAAAAGACTGACACTGATATGCAGTGCGTAGGGGGAGCACTAAACGTTCGAAAGAAAATTTTGGAGAGCAGTTTTTGTAAAACAACAATATGATGCTCTTACTATCCCATTTGTATAAAAAATGGCAATTTATCTAAATTCCAAGAGAAAAGAATCTATACTTCTTGACCCAATTATTTTTCCCTCTTACTCAGAATTGTGTACTTCCATATGTTCATAGCTTGTTATATTTAAACTTTAGATGTAAGCTTTTGTAACTTAGTCACTTGTACCTGTCATAGTTAGCTGTATATGCACTCTAGAGACAAGCAATTAAATTTGTTTAATTATTACAACACATAATTGAATTAAATTTAAATGATGTAACAAAATAATGCAAGATGAAAAATTAAAGAATCTTGGAAAACTTGATGACCGATATAAAATGTAAATAAAAAAATGACCAACTGCAAGAAAAACTTGGTCACACTTCCAATAGAAAGTCAGGATTAGTGCACTCTGTGATTGCAACGTCTGGTCAATAAATAATGGTAGCATTGGCTGATTTGATCTTTTCTGATTCCATAATTGTATAGACTTTCGTACACAAAACCATTATTCATATTTGAACATTGTTTTTATTATTTCTAAAGAAAGGAGTATGTTCTGTATAATACATCCATTTTTCTTTGCTTGTAATTTTGGTATTATCTAATTCACACAATAATTATTAAGGGCCATTTTCAAATTAGATTTGCGCAAAATCAACAGTGCACTTGAATGATTGGCATCTTATGTCTTTTTATCAAAAGTTTTCTTGACAATTGGCAGTAAATGTTCATATGTTAGCATGAAAGATTTCTATAAACTTGAATCAAATTGTTAAAAAAATTAAAATGCTGCAAACGAATAACAATCTGATATGTGTGATACTGTCCAAAAGTCAACCATATTGAGGTAAAATCTTGCATTTAATTGCATTATGTCATTTCACAAAAAGCCAACTTGACCAACAATATAGAATGTGTTGTTTATTACCGAGATCTTATACAACATTTAGTCCTTTTCTTCATATTAAAGTACAGTAGAGAGTTTCGGAGAAATTTGCAGCTACACTATTTCTGAAATGATTTGTCTAAACAAAAATGGAAATTATTAAACAAATATGCAAGCTTACAAACATGAAACTTTCTTGTTCGTATTCTTGTGTTAGTATAAAAAAACACTATTGTTTAGCTTTGGAAGGACAAAATTTCTTTGAACTCTCATATAGTACCATGAATACAATCTAATTCCCCCAGGCCTTTTTTGGTGATTTACATTTGTTTACCACCCACGTGACATTTGATGTACATTTTCAATTGACTTCTCTAAGTACATAAAATATATGTTTATTTGGTAACCCCTACCCTGTAGCCCCGGGAATAAAATGTCAAACCTAACAAAAAAAACAACAAAAAGTCACATTTGTAGTATCTTTTGTTTAATTTTGATTACTTATGTGGTCAACTTCAAATTTTTAGAGAAAAATTACCTGGTAATTATATTATAATTCATTATTTTCAATACTGTAAATGTTCAATATTACAGCAAAAAATTGTTTTTTCTTTGCATTTTCTATGGGTAATTTGTTCACTAAAATGTCGAATAAGAACCTTATTTTATAGAATAATGCATTTTATGTCATGGGTCAAACGTACCCAATTGTATTTGTAACACTTTTTTATGGTACCGTATGAATGACAAAAAATTGTTTTACTTCCTCGTAATTGTGTTTACAAACACAAATTCATCAATCCTAATAAATACAAAATTGAGAATATCTAAAGATTATTTTAATGATTTGTATTTGTATTATGTTCATTGTTTCAATGTTAAAATTTTAATTGTGAAGGAATCTTAATGCTAAAATTTCTTTTCTTTAGCTTGCCTAACCCCACTCACACTGATGATGCATGTTGAGAAACATGATGTTTGATAATTCAAACCATTCATTAAAAACATTTCAAAGAATGTTCAAATACTAAATTTTTGTATGTACTTAAAAGAGGTAAAGCAGTGTGAAACAAATGAACAGTTCAGAGGACAAACAAGAAGAAAGAAAAAAAATGAAATGTACAATATTAGAAATTTCAAGAGACAACATCTATATTCATGATTTCATCATCTGTATCTGTTTATGATATATAAATTAACCATTTCAGTATTGAATGTATCTGTTTTATTAATAAGGGAAGTAAGGTGTCTTAACTAAATGTACAATTGTTAAACTTGTGAGATATTTTATATTAAATTATTCATATTATGTATAATACAAAACACATTATTTCTTATTCATCTTCCTTTTCTTTCCTGGTCTAGATGTGTTTTTGGCTGCAGCTGCCCTCTTTGCACCCAATTTGGGAGTCCTCTTCTCTGCCTTGTCTTTCCGTTTTGCTCTTTTTTCGGCAGGTGTTTTTCTAAGACCTTTCATCTTCCTGGTTTGCAACTTATTTATGTTCTGTTTGGGAATGTGGATACGACCATGTGTTGTTCCCAGTGGATTTGTATCAATATTCTTAACTTTCTTGACCTGCAAATTATGTTAAAAATCATGATATGGATATGACCACTGTCACACTCGCCAATTGAAAGTAATCACGTGTTAGAAATGTTCTAGTCTAAAAAAATGTACCATTTCCAATAGAAATGAAGATTTTTATTTTTAATCCTTTTATTAATCAGGATCTTTTGAATTCGCAAATTTATCTAGCATGCATTGTCAACTGTTAGGTTACATTCACACTACTAAAAAACTAAAATGTTTACATGGAGATACTGATGAATATAAAACACTCATTTGAAAAAAACTATTATAAGAGTAGTGTAGCTTTATTAAATAGGGGCAGAGAAGAACGTTTAACTTTAGATAAGTTTTTAATTATGTGTAGTAATTTAAAATTAAATAAGGAACCAATTGTTTCTTCTTCTAGGAACTTAAATTATCCTGTGAAAATATCCTAGAGACTGAAGTTAAATGAGCTAGAAGTATCCCCAAAAATTAAAACGTCAGCCAGAAATCAGAAAAAGAAATACATGCACATGCAACAATACTTATAAATGATCTAAAAGATATGTTTATCCGTCAAATCAACCAATATACTAGACATGCATTAACACAGATGCAAGTGGGAAAAAATCAGGAATAAATCCATACATTCACATACCTTCAATTCTTTGGGTTTCTTACAAGCCAATTTATACAAATCCTCCGAAGCTAACTTTGTCCTCCGCATATTAAAATCTAACGAGGGGCCAATCTCTTCCAGTTCTACTCTTGGTGTTCGTGAACCAGACTTTTTAAACAGGATCCTGAAATATCAAATCTTAATTAGTTGCTGGCAAATATTTATTCAAATGTGTGGTAAACTAACTATATTATATATATATACACACACACACACACATATATATAAAAAATTGATGTGGAGCATAGCGGAGACAAGATTTTAAATTTAGATGAGACAGTAATAATATTAACATTTCGTGATATGTTCAGCATTTTATAGATCACCATAAAATCATGATTTATGCAAAAATTTTGACATTACTGTCATAGTAAACAAATGAATTCTGTAGCTCCAGCACATTACTACAATATTGTGGTGTTGCTTGCAATATATCTATTTAAATAATGTTTGTATCCTGTGGTTTGAGAAAAGATGGATGAAAATAATTCTCCTGAACCTAATTATACCTAAGAAAAGATGTTTGGCAAGACTTTCAGTGACGATATCTTCAAATTGTCAGTAAATATGATTACCAGAAAAGAATTTCATTTAGGGGAATGCCAGGTAAACAAGGTTAATACCTACAAAACATTTTTTAATTGTACTTAATAATATACAACTAACAATAATTATCCCAAAATTTAATAAGAGTTAGTTTTAATCTGATTAGTTTCGCACATTGCCATGTAGTTCTTATTTAATAAAAATTTGATTTTCAATGATTATTTATTTATGTTGCTAAGGATATTAAATTATTACTCTGACTGATGAACTCAAATTTGTTAAAGGATATTTTTATTATTTAAGTAACTTAACACTATCTGTGTTTGCTATACCGTGTTATAAAGGGGACCCACGTAAAAGTTTTGCGTGCGGGCCTGCACACATTTCATTACACTACTGCTCCCTTTGCGATCTTAACACATCAAAAATTATAATAATTTATACTGGGCTGAAATGTAGTATACGGTACAACCTAGGGAAGTCTTTTAAACCGGCACTTCGCGACGTTCCGGCATTAACTAGGCAGTTAGAATTCTGGAGGCTTTCTTGAAAAGTGATGTCTTATAAAAGTGACAAGTAATCTTAGATAATATATTGCTTACATTTACATTACTTGTAATTAAAACTTTCTGTGTTTGGTGTGCAGATAATAGGGAAAAAAAGGTAAAAATAAAAAATACACTCCTTGGAAATAAGATTTAGTAAAAGCAACTGAAAATTGTAGTCCCATATCCTGAAGCTCCGGCAAATCTATTTTATCACTGGTGAAGCTACACGCAAAGGATCATATAAAAAATTACAAGTGTCTTACCTGTAACTACGCATATATATTGTATCCTTAGTCGCAGTGAACATAATAACGTGCTGTATTCCTTGCAATCGTACATACTCCATTACTTCATATTGAAATAAATCTATAAGTAAACTTTTAAGTCGTTGGTACTCAAAATTGTATTCAAATTCATCTCCACAAAATAACAAACATGGTTTGGTTCCATAAGACACTTTTTCAGTTTTGAAGGTTTCAATGTTCTTAAAATTATTAACGCCTAGCTCTATCATATCCAGAAGTTGATGATCATATGTTCTACCTGTAAATTGAAACGAAAACAAGTAATAATACTCAAGAGTGAATTTCCATAGTTCTTCTTAATTACAAAAGATAAATAACAAACATACCTATAATCAAATTGTTGGGGCGTTTCTTGTTGTGAGATGCAAACATGAACAAGGAAGAGTCATATTTCTTAGAGAAAAATTCAAGTTTTGACACATCCTCAAACGGGCGCCAATCGGTTTTCCTATTTAAAAATGTTCCGTGTGGTTTCTTAAGACGACACTAAAAGGAAAGTAGTCTGTCATTCACAGAAATTCCATAAATCCATAAATGATAAATGTAATTTTTAATGAGTTACTTACAAAATCTTTCATACATTCCACAACAGTTTGACTGGATTTGGGACCACGAAGAAAAAGAGTTCTCTTAGTATTTTCAACTGCTTTGGGTGCTCTTGATTTTAAGAATCTCTTACCTTTTCCTGTAGTTGGTTGTCTACAAACAAAAATATAAAACTGTGAATTACCAACACGATTCTGTTCAAATATTACATACCAAATTTACTATGACTAGTTCTCACCGTATCCTTTGAATTGCGCCCATGATTAAATCCGTAAACACATAGGTCTACAATCCGTGGAACAAAACGAACCCTGTTAAACACGTGCTTCCACTAAGCTAACCTCACTGATCGTACTATCTAGCAATGCATGGTGCTTACTCTTGCTTGCCCAGAGAGTATATTACGACTTGCCTACGGGCCTGGGCGATCGATGCATCTACCGAATCGATTTGATTCAAGAATCGAGAAGGATGTGCACGCGGAGAGCACCATCGATTCAAACGTTAAAGTTTTTTCGAGAGCAATATCGTTATCATTAGGGAGTGTCTGCACGACATAGCGTCAGTACTATCGATCTTCTGCGCATGCGCAGATGCACTAAAGTGGTCCGAGACGAACTGGGCATGCTCGAAAGATCGATAGTGCTTTAACATTCGAGGTGAAACAAACTCCCTTGCTCAAGTATCATGGAAACTGGACGAAAACCTTATCGAGATGGGGATCTTGACACAGAAGCTAAAGGACAATACTTGGGAGATGTTCTTTAGAATTATACGATGCAAATGGTAAATAATACATTACATGTCATTGTTAAAATGAATATTACCTACTTTTTGGATACTCTCCAAAATATCTAATTGCATAGAAACAGTTGTGCAGCAGAAAATATTTTACTTGGGACTTACACTTTTGTATCAAATTTGATCGTTTAATGTCATCCAGCAAATTGTATATGTATTGTATGTGAGTTATGTAGTGAGCTGTTTATATATCTATATATCTATATATCTATACTATAGTAAGTCGTATATTTATATATAATATTAATAAATCTATATACTATATCTATATATTATATATATATAATCATATATTATTATAATATATTATATAATATATATTAATATATTATATATAATTATATTTGCTCTTACAGCTGTCGCCGTATTCTCCGCTCTCAGTCTCCATGCCTCTCTATTGGACCATAGATCATCATGGCATTTCTCTGCGTCATAGCTCTTGCACTCCCTGTGCCATGCAAGTCGGGTCGTTCCTCTCTTCTGTCGGCACCCATTTCAGGACTCGTTTTGGCCATCTTTCGTCTGTCATTCGCCATAACATGACCGTACCAGACGATTGGTTTTTTCTCAAATTTCGTCAAGGATAAGATTTCTTGACATCCATTTTATTTCTTATATCGTCGTTCGCTTTCTGTCACGTCTGCTATAACAGCAGCTTCGTACGCCAGTAGCACATTTCAAGGCCAGCAGCTTCCATTTCGTTCTTTTATCGATCTCCCAGACTTCTGAACCGTATGTTGTAACCACTCTTAACTAGCGAGGAGTAATACACGTCTTTTTAGTAGTGTTAGTGATGGTTTTGTTCCATAAAGACAGAGTATATACTTCGTGTCACGTTTTTTCCCAAGCTTATTCGTCTCTCATTTCGTCATGGCTATTTTTCTTATTGTTAAAAAGTACACAAAGGTATTTATATTTGTTTTACCCTTTCATTTTTCCTCCATTTTCCACAAGAAGATCTTCTATTTTCATTTTTTTACCAGCTGCCAGGTATTTCAGATCTTGTCCATATTAATATTGTAACGTTCCTCGTTGTGAATTAAAACCAACACAATATTTAAACAAAGACTTATTCCGGAACAATTATACACTAAAATCTACTTGGTCTATTTACAGATATATTACAATTAATTATTTTCTTTTTTACACACGATTCCTTCTCTTGATGATTTATTACACAGTTTCACTCCTTACACACTATTTATTTACAACAGTTCTTTTCTTCTGTATCAGCCAGTCCGATGCTCTGTCCACGGTCCACTGCACTTGGCCAATTCCCTGCAGAGACCACAAAATTCCCCTGCGCAGACCACAATTCCTTGCGCAGACCACACTTCACTGCGCACACCAGGGTGTCTTACTGCACTCCTGGCTTGTACCGCGATGCCCACTTTCAAGACTGTCACTCCACTGCAGAACATCTTTCAACAACTGCGACTCAGCTGTTTCTCCTGCAGACCACTGTCACTCTACCCGCATGCACCTTCAACCACTGCTACAGCTGCAGCACTCATGACTTCACGAGCCTGCCGGCACTCAGCTCACTGTACTTGCTTTCAACCGCGCCCTGCACCACTCTTAACCGCAACATGCACAATCTCACAAGATTACACCCACAGTCTACTGCGACGACATGACGGACTTACTGCTTCTCTGCCACTCACTGACGTCTACCCACTGACTTCACTCACGTCTTCTACTAACTCTTCTACATAACTGACTCGCGGCCGCCGGCAGTGCGCGCATTTATACCTGCCCGGCGCTTGTTCTCCAGGCACCCCGGCACATTCTGGGCGTTTCCCACGGCTCGCGCAAAGTCCGAACCGTCTAGTTCGGGGGCGGGGGAAGGCGCCGGCAGATGACGCAATCCACCGCGCAGAGAAGT